ATATATATATATATATATAGTAGTAGTAGTATATATATATATATATATATATATATATATATATATATATATATATATATATATATATATATATGTAGCTAATAGCTTGGACCTAATTGCGCCGGTTGCAAATTTGAAATGAATATTTATGACTGACAAAATGAAACATGAATCATCCAAACAATGAATGAATGAATGAATGTATAAATGCTTGCTTATATGTGCATATGTTTATACGCATGACAGATAGATCAAAATATCATCTCAATGTAACAAATATTCCAAGCAGGAAAAAAGGTAAAATAAGATAGAAAGAAAGAAAAAGAATAAACGATACATTCTATTGCTCGTTTAAAATAAGCATTTGTACAGATTATGTAAACAAACTGTTTAAATCAAGTAGGACCAAAATGAAAGAATTCAGATCTGTGGAGCAGTTAAAACTTATGATAATAGAGGAGATGATATGAAAAAGATTCCTTCAAATACCCATTATTATCTTACGCAGAATTTTCTTCAAATTTGTTCAAAATTTACACTATTTGTTTTTGATATATAATTTTTGAAAATGTATCATTTTCTCCTTCTCAATCTTTTTTTTCCATCCCAATCTTCTATTTCTTATTCCAAATTCCTTTTAAACTTCAAATTTGCACAATATTTCCTAAATTTATGATCTCTTCGTACAGCAGCAAAATTACCATTTTCCCCTACATAATAAAAAAGTAAAAGATAACTCAAATTCCAATTTTCCCGCGAACTAAAGTATCTCTATTTTAATTTTACTAATTATCTGCAACAATTTCAACTTTGTTTTTAGCCAAACTTATCCCAATAATTGATTAGCTAGTGAACTAAGAACTGATCTCAATTACTCGCAAAAACTGCGAAGATTTAGTTATCCTCATCGACAAAATTAATTTGACACTAAAATTCGAGGACAATCGTTTTTTCATAGATAAGCTTGGAAATGAGTCGAAGGGGCTGCCAGATCTACTGCATAGTAATACAACTTTATAGGAAACATGTATGAAGATAGTTTTGCTGTCAAGAATGCTCTACTCAAACAATGAATCATGCTTCTATTGGAGAGACACTCTTTCGAAACAGCACAAAACACTTATGATTTAATTCAAGTTTTACCATCAATGAGATGTTTACCGAAAATGTTTCTTCCTACCATCTCAAAAAAGTAGTATGAAAAAAATATTATATATATGATTCTTTCTAACTGAAGGAAAAATAAATTTGGAGCACCAATATGCCAATACACCGCAATGTTTTTTGCAAATCTTCTAAGGAAAAAAGAAAAAAACAAAAAGGAAAATAAAGTACCAGATAAATTAAAATAATTTTTATAATTTTTCTAAATCCTTCAAAAAAGGGTGATTACCATAATTTTTTTTTGTTTACTTTTTTTAACAAATTGAGAATTAAAAATGCATATAAGTTTTTTATAGTGATTGAGAACTAAAAGTGACAATGATTTCGAAGTTCCGAAAAATGAAACTTCAAATTAAAAAAAGGTACACAACAAAAAGATACTTTCAAAAACAGCAGGATGGAAACCGTAATGTGGTCAAATGAGACCAATGGTCAGTGCGTGAGGGTAGGCACTCAATTTTTATCCAATTCACCTCATTAAATATTTGAACCGTTTAAGAAACTAACGAAACTTTTTTATTTCCCCTCTTTCTTCCTTTTGTTTCGGATGGTCTGATAAAAATCCCAAGATTCAAATTTATAATTTCGTTCCGAATAAGTCAGATATAAAAGAAGTAAAGCAAGCAGAACACTGACCTCCTCAATCCTGGAATTATTTCCAACCTATTATTGCTTCCATTAACCAGATGCATCTTCTCGACATCCTAAAATTAAGTACGTTGCACATTCAGGCACTCAAGTAATTCAAAATTTCTAAAGTGAGAAACGCAATTTGTTTTCCAAATTTCTAATTACGATAATTTCGCAGATTTATTAAATTTTTTGGGAATTAAAATTCAAAATCTTCATAAACTGACCCAAGCACTTAGATAACGGAACATGTGGCTGTGACCAATACCGATTATATTCCCATCACGAAGAGCTACAGTTTGAGAAATACGTTGACCATCAACCTGCAAGTTCTCGTTTTAACGCATAATCCAAACTTCGTTGAAACTTAGTTTTAACGCAAACCGTCTCTTTTAAACAGAATGTATTAAAGGATGAACCTCAATATAAGCATTTGGATCAGATGGTGTGACCGTTACAACACCGTCCTGATAATTGATTACGGCATGTCGAGGTCTGATATATTGACCATCTAGAAATAAGCCCATCGAGCGATCTGAACCTATACCCATCACACCAAATGGAAGATGTATTGGCTTCATTCCTGGGATTTCTTTACAATCTAAACTATTATCGAAATAGTGCCATAAACTGATTAGTGTGAAACTGAATTAGGACTTCAAAAAATTTTGTCCGTCGAAATCTGTAATTTTTTTCAAATAATGGAGGCGGCAAAAGATAAAATCATGAGTAAAACAGTGAAAGATGAAAATGTCATTTTAGAATTGATAACAATTTAGAGCTTACCTAAAGTTATTGGCAAAAGACATGGTTTGGCAGCAAACAGATTTTGCAAGCGGAAAACTTGAGAGGTTCCTATACAGAGTTTTTGCGGATCAGCGTAACTGACACCAAGTGCTGCAGTTGATGATACTGATGAATGACGTGCATGCTTTTGTATTTCAGATAACCGCTGTTTCACAACGAAAAATATTTCCTCTGATGGATCCGGTATACGATTTGCTAGGCTAATCAACGGGAACTCATTATAATCCATAATTCGTTCACGTCGACTAATATTCAAGAATCGTAAATCGCTTAACGAACGAGAAAGCTTTGTAGAAACCGGTATTACCATCTGCAAATGTTGGATCATTTTTCTAGTGCTGTAATAATCAACACTTTATATCAATATCAATTTTATAATTAGCTTTACTGGAACGAAAATAAAATTTAAACAACTAATTGGGTCACTAAACACTGGCTTGCATCACTAACAGTGAAAATTGATAAAGCAATGGACAGTTACTACTAAAAGTCAATAACGTTAAGAGGTTACAGATGACTTCACAGTATTTTGTGTTATATAAACAAAGAATATTTCAAAGGCTACCTCAACTAAAATGTATTCTTCCACATTTTTGTTGACACCGTATTTTTCTAGTACCTCCTTCAAAATTCTACTTGTAGTGTCCCGTACTGATACAAGAAGTGTGACGTACGGTCGACTTGGTTCTAATTCATAACCGTAAATCTTTAAACTACCACCTGAAACATAGAATGGAATACCTTTAAAGTTTTCTTAATTTAATTATTTCAACCTTTAAGATTTTTTTAATCAGATTTGCCTTTTTTTTTCAATTTTTTTCCCTAAACTTTTGTGGGGAAAGAAATCCTGTCATAATGTATAAATTAATAAATTATCCTGCCCAGATCTCATGGAAACTTCAAGCAAAATCAAAAAGCCTGGTCAAAGTAATATAGTCGTTAGGCATCCAGAAATTCCTAGAATATCTGGAATCAGTATCTAACCGACAGGTGGGCTACTCAACTACCAAAGAATGCGAAGTAATGCTGGACGTGGGATACCGTCGTGAGATTGTAGGACTGACCATTTAACGATGCGTCACGCATAACGCAACGCCGGTAATGTGTCCACAAACATCATTATCATATAGCACGCACAAAACCACCAATTAGCACTTTCAATCGCGAATTAGCTTCTCGAAGTGGTGCGAAGAATCGAACCTTAAATGGGTTCGTCGCCATCTAAGCAACCACCCATTACACCAACTATTAGTTCAAGGGCGACTCACCTTCCCAATCAAAATAGCTATACACGCAGAAAATACCAAAAGGATCAAATTCTTTTTTTTTAAATTTTCAGAATTTCCTGAAACTTAAAAGTTTCAAATAGTACTTTAAGGACAATATTTTTATTGTCAACTTCTTAGGATAAGATATTCCCGAATTTTCCTACCAGTTAAGAATAAATCTATATAATTCCCAATTCTTGTTTACAAAATTATTTGAATATTACGCCAACTGCTCCATCCGTCTTAACATTCTTTTTTAGTCTTTTTTTTTCTTTTGATTTTAAAAGTAATAAAAAAGTACAACCCCTTTTTGCAATAAATACCAAAGTAACGCGCAGCATTATGATAAATCGCTACTAATTCTTTGATTTCTTTGTCACGAAAAAAAAAAAGTTAAATTGCGATGCTTCTACTGTTACCTTGACCCAAATCTTTTAATTTTGCCGCAATCTTTTTTTCGCGTCGTTTCTTCATCACAAATTCTGGATTCGAAATTGTTCGCGTAAATGTGGTTGGTGGCAATGCTTTATATAATTCTTCAGAGGCACGTAACTTCGGTTCTTGTTGTTCAACTGCTAAAACTTTTTTTCATAATTGAAGATCATTTTTGTCAGCCTTATTTTGCTTGCATCAATTCCATGTTTTCCCTCTTCTCTCGTTCAGTACGCTATCCGATATCATGAAATAATTGTTCTTTCGTCAATTCCCTGCTGTTTCTATTTCTATATACATCACCAAGTAAAAAAAATTTTAGCCTTAGAACATATATCGCCAAGCACTGAAATGTTAGGTAAAGTTTGGCATACAAATTTCATCATTCTTCATCACCACCAAAAACAGAATAACCGGTCAGTAAACATATATCCGCTTTCAACAATTACGCAATCCGACTGTCGGAAACGCTGGCATATTTGTTCTCAGACAGTCGAAATGCTGGCATATTTGTTCTCAAACTTAAAATATTAATTGCATGTTAAAGTATTCCCAGCCAAATTACATGCTGATCAGATCGTTGATAAACGGTCATCTTTTATACTTTGAAAAGAAAACTTTTAATATTGGTGAAAAAAAAGTAAATTCCGGAAGTAATTTTAGTTCTAACATAAAATTATGTAATGTGGGATGAAATTAATAAAACGGAAACCTTTTTGATGCTTTTTTTTCAGTTCTTTTTCCTCCTTCTTCGAAAACCTTTTTTGATTGCCACTCAAACCACCTATGGTACCCTAAAATAATTCTTCCTCCAAAAAATTATGAAACAACCCTGAAAATATGCAGATCCTTCCGTCTCTCCTATAAACGTCATTCGCATACGAAATTATGACTTAAGAATGTATTTAGATAACGATAAATATGCAGCTTTTGCAAGATTTCATGCTACCATACTAATTTGATCCATTTACAGTTCATGAATCATCTCCAAGATTTCGCCTTTTTCAATTGTTTACGACGGTTTTGCTTTGCTCGGCGCTAATGCTTGGGCAGTAATTTTGCAATTCGAGACAGTCAAGTAACTCAAGATTAAATCATCCATCTAATGTTTTTTAATAGCTCCTCGTAATTCCGAATCAGTTCAAAACTCGAACCATAAAATCGAATTTCAGGATTAAAATCGATTTGTCCAAACTGCTGATTGTTACTCCATCATTACTTTTAACAGAATCTTAAAACCAAATTTTATACCTTGACAGAAGTGGTATTAGGATGTGCCCTCAACAGAAACCGACCTTCGCGATCATCTTTATGCCAATTCAGCTGTACAAGTAATGGTTTCTCACTGGGTGCTAGACATCGCTCATCGCCATTTTCATGAACTTCCCACAATGTATATTCTGGATCACTGAGCCTGAAAATTAACTCACCTTTTAGACTAGTATCAAGTTTTCAGACTAAAAAATATACTGATGTGACTATTTCCATAGCAGAAGAGCATCTGTGAACTTACATTTTAAGATCAGGATGAAACTTCTCGACCAATGCACTGACAACTGCTCGGGTTGTTGCTGTACTGGAAACACGGATACATTTCGTCAATACTTTGTCTTTAGATTCTTGAAAATAGAATCGCATCACACCATGAATTTCAAGATCCTGAAACCTCACCAAAAACAGTCCATCACTCGTACAAATGAATAGAAGTAGTGGAAACTAAGTATAAAGTCATTTTATGAATACAGTTATTCTCTTATCCACTTATCACCCCCAACAATTGGATATCTTTTAATATGTCTGAAAATAAAAACACAGTACTGGCCATATGGAACAGAAAGAGTACCAAAATATGGATTATGAATAAGGGAGCCTTTTATTATTTTGAAATAAGAATTGTGACAAAAAAAATATGGAAAGCCCATTATAACTGCTACGATTCACTTTTTAATTAAGCATCAATTTGTCATTAAAGAATTAAATTATCGTAATAGTAGTCGAATAAAAAGTCACGAAATTAAATTTCCTGCCAAAGAGATTTAAAAGACTGAAAAACTTTTAATTCTACCGTCTCCTCGAATAACAGAGTGAAATTACGGCCATTTAATGAACCTGTTGGCTATAATCTTTTTTTCCTAACTTCGCTAAATTAGCATTTTATTTGTACCAACTGTTAACCTGATGTAGTAATTCCAAGCACAAATGTCATAACAAGGGAATTTAAACTTGAACACATCTGTAGGGTAGCTTAAGCAGAACAATCGGTTGGTTACATATTTTCCAAATCGATATTTTCTTTAATAATCTAATCCACAAAAAATTGTAGTGTTCGTAAAAATTCGAATCCAAATACCTCTGTCGGATAGCTTAGGTTGAATAAATCAAGCCGATTCTCATTCCATTGATCGACCAGCTGCCAGAGTTGCTCTCGCTCGCTTTGTCTAGTTAGCTGTAGCCTGCTTAGCATGGTCGGGTTATCCAGAATATGCTCCTTCTTCCCTGAAACTGAAATATTTTCCAAGAATTAATTTTTATTATATTCAGGAAACGTACAACCTTATCCAACTTCGCTCGTTCAGTATGACGCTGGACAAACCCTTGAGAATAAAAAGAGGTTACGAAGCATTTGAAAGGAAAAAGTCGACCTTAAACTGGGAATGGACTGAAAATAAAAACTTAAATTGAAACTTGAAATCCAAAAAATAAAAATTAATTTAGGCTACGTCTTGTTTCTGGGTTTTCCAGGACAAAACTAAAAAAAGGATTCAAATTTATTCGAAATGCAAATTTGATCCTGCAGCAAAAATCAACTGAAAATGGGAAATATTCAGCAAAAATCAACTGAAAATGGGAAATATTAAGTATATTGATAACTTTCAGTCAATTCCAAATAAATAATAATAATGGTCGCGCCAAAATACTCATTGAAGAAGTTAAAAATAGTCGCAATACCATACTTGAAATATCATCTTTAATAAAAAAGAAAAAATTATTTCTCAAGTAAAAAAAGGACAGAAAATAACAGTGTCTTGAGTGTCTGATATCATCCTGCTAAATACTGCATTTAAAATACCAACGATAAAAAAAAGTGGAAAAGAAAACAGTGAGTGAAATCACCCGGTTAAATATGAAAGTAAACAATAGCGAAACGACTGCTGATCCATCCAAAATTGCCTAAGAAATATCACCAACTTGATGTCAGCAACAAAGTGAAGTCAGAAAGGTCACAATATTCCAGTGGTCACATGTAAAGGTCACCCATTCAATGTCAACAACCCTCAGATCACCACTGAACTGCTTCATTCATAATCATTTTTCGCCCTCCCCCTCCCTCCGCCCAATATAAACCCACGAATCAAGAAACGAAAGACCGAAATGACCTTCACCTTTCATGCCGATCTTATCTGACTTCATCTTTCACTGTGCCGTGCGTGGTCCGTTAAAATAGGACTGGAACTATAGCTTACGGAAATGAATCAGAGGATTGTTTTCTAGATTTTTGATTCTTCCACTCACTGCTCTATCAGATTTTAGCATTTTCCTATAATCTCTGACAATTCTTATCAGTCTTTATCTTCTCTCTCTCTTCAAGCCATTCATTGTGCTTTAAACTATATTGCTATTATTGCTCGAAATTATAACAATTACAGTGTTTGCTGTACTCTTTACTTACTCCAAATCCTTATATCATCTAACATCCCCTCAATCTATACTTCCGGCTTAGCTACTGTACTCTTTATCCCCTCACAATTTCTAATTTTAATTTTTATTCTTCGAAATTGAAAAGTGCAGAGTTTGTAGAGTAAAAAATTTTGACCACTCCAAATTCAATCTCCAGTTCAAATTCTGATTGATCGTTGCTTCTTTTTTTTTCTGCTGCAATTTGCTGTAATGAATGCTTTTTCCAGAAGGCAAGCTAATGCACGATCAATGTAATTAATCACACTATCATCAGGAAATGGACGACTTGCAATAGCCTGGAATTAACCTGGTTATTTTCTTTATCTGTCTTGGTAATTATGTAAGTAATTTCCGGCAAATTTAAAACTATTTTGATAATTCTGGACAGAAATATTACGCTTATACGTTACTTTCTTCTATCCTTAAATAACGATACGGAATTATAAAATTGACTTACATTTCAGATGAAAAATTTTATGGTTTGAAAAAGCGGTGCAACGCAACGAAATGACAACTGATAACGATTGCGAAAAAATTCGTTATGTGATAATTGACGAAAATTTGGAAAATGGTGAAAGATCCGATAGCTACTCATTTACAGTGTCTGGATCGACAGTATATCATCAAAATATATTATCACCGCAACACCATCATCGTCATCTTCAACAACAGCAACAAGAACAACAAATGCTTAGATACGATTGTGCCCTTCAAAATGGTTACTTGCTTGTTTGCTTCTCCTAAGTCTTAACACCGTTATTCTTGAAAAAGACTAGACTTTCATTTTATAAACCATCCGTAACGGTATACTTTTAAGAGCACTTTTAACTAGTGGGATAAATTAAATTGAGATTAAAGAGAGCGGTTGGAAATTATTAGGTTCTGTTTGGGAGAATTAAAACCTAGTTATGTTCGTCTGACCACTAATAGTGGATGATTTGCAATCTTCATAGTTGCACTGCCCTGAATATTACACTTAATTGCTCATCCAAGTTAGTTGAGTCGTTCTATTTCGGATGTGACAATGAAATTTCTTAGTTATTAAACGCATTTTCGTATTTTACTTATTTGCTCATTTGAATAGCATTTGAACTGTTTGTTTAATTAAATTTAATTGTTAAAATAAATATATTTTATTCAAGAGTCATCAACCTCAACATGGGTGGATAATTCATACAGTATGCCGGTTTCAAATAATGTAAGTTTAGGAACAAGCTTAAGTTTATTTATACTTATCATTAGTTTTTACAACAGTGCAGTGCTCCTCTAAATGTCCAGAAATGTTTTCTGGAAAGATCGGATCGATTCAGTCACATTTTAAAATTAGTTCGGTAAATACTGGAATTTTCGATGAATTCCTTTAAGTTAGTGAAAACTGCCATTAATTTGTGTATAGCGATTCCATCCTCTGATTCATTTGATTAAAAATAACTGTAACCAAGTTATTGCGTTTTCAACCAGATTATCCCTGTTAATATTTGTTTTTCTAAATAAATTATGACTGCTTACAGACACACTATTTGGCAAGATGTAGCGTTTGTGATGCTCTGTTTGATTTGGCGGAATATTTGAACCATACCAAAAATTGTAGACTAGAAAAGTCCTACAAGTATGTTTACTTTAAAGAAGTAAATAAGTAAATAAGGTTTTTAAAGAAGTAAATAAGTTATTTACTTCTTTAAAATTCATTTTTCAGCAGATTCTTTTTGGTCAACGTATTGAAAAATAATGGAACATGTCTCGTTAAAACCCCGATATAATTTCCAAAAATTAATATTAGTAATAAATAAATTAAACAATTGGTTTAGTTCAACACAAATTGTTAATTATAGATGTGACATATGTGGTAAAGAATATAATAAGGAGCATAATTTAAAGCTGCACCATCTTGGTCAACACGATAAGGCTGTGGTTGAAAATGAGAAGTACATATGTTCATTCTGTCCAAAGAAGTATGCTCGATTAGCCGCTTATTATGCACACCTTCAAATCCACGGCTTGAACGATTCTCTTATATGTACATTTTGTAAAGAAGAATTTGATTTTCAGGTTCATTATCAATTTAATTCATGCAAGACAGTCTTTCGTTTGAAAAGTTTCAATTTGGTTGCCTCATTTGAGTTGAATGTGGCCAACGATTGACTAGAGTTGCGAAACAAATATATATGTACATATAGCTGCATATCGATTCAATAGGCCAAAAGGCTTAAAATACCGAAAAGTTGATTTTAGTAGTTGAAAGTTGATTACGATGACTTGTATAATTAGTTTAACAAACTGGCACCTCACTCTTTCATTATTTGGTATGCTGGTATTACACGAGGCCCGTACTTGATACCAAACAATCCCAGATCCTAGTGATGATAACTGAGTCTTTACATTCGTGTAACAACACAAGAAGCCTTTCGTTTTTGTTTAATTTTTATTATTTTAGGTACTTTTAAACAAACACTTGCGCTTACAACATTGCTATCCTCGCTTGGAAGATATCACTACTGTTGAAATATGCAAGAAATGTGGGATTGCTATTTTCAACAAAGAAGCAATGGATGAACACAAACAAATCCATCGGAAAATAAAGTAATTTTTATTGGTTTTGATCGTTTTTGAAAGAAGATTTGGGAGTACAGCAAGTTATTTTATTAAGGAATATTGAGAAGAAAATGTTTGATAATTCGACAAATTCTTAAACGGATAATTTTAGTATATAGTGGAGGAATAGATCCTGAAGTCGAAAAGATATATCCAAAGCATGCGTTAAACTTTCAACACTATCGGAAGCTATTATTAGAGTTTTTGGCTTTAGCTGGATGTCGCCGTTTAGCCTGAAAACTATTTTGATAGGGTAAAGTAAAGCTTATTAGTACAGCGAATTTTATCAATAGTTTTCAGTAAGACAATGAAAAGAAATAAACGGAAACGTGAACCAGATCCTGGTGATAGAGCTCATAAATGTGAAGCATGTAACAAAACTTTTAAAAAAAATTTGAATTGATGCGGCATTATGTTGTCCATACAAGTGAGCTGTTTTGATTTCATTTAACCTTCTAAGCTTAGTTTCAATTTTTTTTTTGAATTTCTAAAATTTATCAAAGTTTACCTTAGAATTTGCTCCATAAAACTCTCGGATCATGAAAATCATTGTCACAGAACATGGCTTGAATATTATGGAACATTTCCTTCTGTGATCTTCAAGTATGTCATGGATGTTATCCTTGGTTCATGATTGCACTGAAGTAATCTCATCAATAATATCATGATACAGAGATGAGGAAAGCACTCTCCCAGATTTGAACTGAATTATGTTGAGAGGAGCTGAAGACGTGACATTTTAATTGTAACTTATATTCATAAATTATGTGTTATATGTAATTCCACATTTATCAGAAGAACGTCGTTTTGTATGTGAAATTTGCGGAAAACGATTCTCCCAAAAAGCTTCTCTGGGACAGCACACACTAACTCATAACTCATCCACTGCCCAAAGTCATAAATGTTCACTTTGTGATGCAACCTTCTCACAAGTAAGTCTTTTTTCTTCTTTTTTTTCAAAGAACTATCAGATATTTCTTTAAGCGAAGAGTAATGCAGTTAAGAAGCGTTTTTCAGTTATCCATTCCCAGGACCGATTAGAAACGAAATTGATTCTTAGTTTAATTCGAAGTGATTTCCCATCTCTTCAATATTTTCTTTCACTGGGCGTTTTAATATTTTTTAACAAGTTCCCAGAATTATATATTTGTATCTAAGAAGAAGCTTCTAAGCTGGTAAATTATTTAAGCCGTTCAATTTAAACATTTATAATTCCGGAAATATTCTAAAAATTATCCGGTTTTTAGATGAAAATTCGATCCTTTGCAGGCTGGAAATTTACGTCGGCATGTGAAGCTTCTACATCCTCCAGATGCTACATCGCGTGCAGTTTTTCGATGTCTCAAATGTACTTGTGTATTTAGTTCGTTGCAACCACTACAAGTACATGCTCGAAAACGGCATCCAGAACAAGGTTTGGTAAATTTATTCAAATTTATCTGAATTTCATTCATTATGTATTATGTATATCTGAATTTCATTCATTCATTATGGCTTTTGGTAAATTTATTCAAATTTATCTGAATTATTCGAATATTTTGAATTGAAAAGCAATTTTTCTCGTCCTGCCAAAGCCATATCTACATAGCTTTTATACTCTTTAATTTCTCCCACTTTCTTAGCTTTCTGTGTTCCAAGTTTCCAATTAAGGTTTCCTTTTTTTTCAGTAACTTTGAAAAATTCTATCATTATGGAAGAAGGAACTACTGACCTACAGGTATCTTGTAGAATTTTTGTAAATTATAATTTGTATCAAAAGGTTGATGATTGATTGCATCTTTTTCTAAAAAAAGAAAAAACTGCTGAGGTTCTATCGCTATTCAAGCTTTTTTACTTGAATGTTTTCTAGTTTTTCTTTCTCTTTCATCAGTATTTGTTATTAATTCTTCAATTATAATTTTAAGTACCCCTCAAGGTTGATCTTGTTCTATAAAGTATGAATTACAAATAGTTCTGGAGTTGCAGTTCAGAACGTTGTTATGAACGCAATATTTGTTGAATAATTTAAGAAAAAAAATTTTTTAGAAACAAAACAAAAGACGTAGGTTTTGTTGCTGTATGTGTGGAAAAGCTTTCGGCAAAACATCTGATTTGGTGCGACATTATCGAATACATAGTGGTGAACGGCCATTTTCATGTAATCGATGTGGCCGAGATTTTAACTTGAAGTCTTCATTAAAGTTGCATATGGATAGTCACGTCCGCGCTGACCATCCCGATAATTACTACACATGTGCGCGATGTCCTGTTTGCATGAAGCAGGTAGATATGCTGTTTAATTTGCAAGTTTTCCAAGAAATTTTGGATTTGTTGGAAATAAAAATACTGAGCAAAATGAAATGAAAAAAAGAAAATGTGATTTTTAGTTAGCATCGGCACCATCGTTACGCCGTCACCTCAAAATCCATGAAAGACCATTGGAACATTGTGGAGTGTGTTCGCAAGTAAATTTATTTCTATTTGTTTGATATCTAATTTCCATCTACAATGATGTACCACTGTGATAAGGCTTGTTAAGATATCTAATTACGTCAATTGCTCATCTGTCATAGAGCTATCCTATCATCAATTATCCCACGAATTGCGGCCAATTTGGATAAAGTATGATAGATTTCGCATTTTTAGATTTTCCTGAGCAAAAAAGCATTGGAGCAGCATCAGATAGCTTGTTTGACAGCAAATGCTGAAGTTGGTTCGTCTGGAAGTTTATTGGAACTTTTGCCACCTACTGATGATACCACTGTAAATACTGAGCCGGAACGGAGACCATACAAATGTCGTACCTGTACGGCATCATTTTCAACGCTTCGCTGTTTGAAGGAGCATATTAATCGACACACGGGCATAAAACCACACATATGCCGATTATGTTACAAGTCATTTTATTCCTTAGGTACGTAACTTCATAAAATAACGTCCAACCGTACTTTCTAGGCGAAGGTTAATTCTGCAAGATTATTTCAAATCACAAAAATATGCAATCTTACTCTACAGTGTATGTATCCATTATGGTTTCCATTTGTCGAGCGCGATCGAAATTTGTCTTGTATGAATGCATGCATCGCCAATATATTAGCTTAGGGCTAGTGAAACTGTAGCGACTTCAATATTTGATTGTGCAAATATGAAGACCTCGTAGTGACATCCTTCAATATGTTTATATCTACATGCTTATCTCTCTGTTCGAAAGTTATTTCAAAATCAAAACCAAAGTTAGTGTTTTTTTTTAGCCCAGTTAAAATGTCACAGCGAGATACATACTAACAAGCGGCCATTCAAGTGTTTGATGTGTGATCAAACATTCAGGCGGCATTCTCAATTAAAAGCACATACAAGCAAACACCCACGACCCAATAGCTTGATGAATTTTGTAAGTTGTACCACCACTTTTGACACGTGACTTAATCAAAGTCGATCATCGACACTGACCTTCTTTGATTACTGACGATTTAGTTTGAGTTGTTTTTGATTTCGAAACTATTTGGTAGATTAGGTTTTTCTATCTCCCTGCATCACAGAAAATATTGAACATTACACTACGTCAAACTAACTAATTGGCTCCAAATGTAATTAACCAAGCTGAGCAGTCCTTGAAAAGTCTTTGATATCTTTTCATGGTGAATATTAAATTGTCCTGTTTATTAGATAACAGGAATTAAAATAAATATTTTAGGTCGCTTTCATTTTTTGCTGTCAATCCAATTATTTCAGGAATCTCTTTCATGGTCACCCGATAATTTATTCAGTAAAAGTGTACAAGATGATAATGCTCACTTTAGTGAAAACGATCTTACCAACTTTGATTTTTCGTCTTTGGACGCTGATTCGAAACAGTTGAATATTGATAGTTCAGTTGAGGTAATCAACAAATAATTTCGTTCATTTCTAGGTTTGTTACTTAGCTGACTGGTATCACGTTAGATGAAAACTATCTAATTCAGGAGTTCTGTCAAGCTCACCCAGCATATAAGATATATATTCTGATAATAACAGCGAAGACTAACCATTCAAAATTGAATGATGAACAGAGAAGGAGATATAGGATCTTCAAATTTTTTTTTCTTTTTTTTTAATAATTGGCCTTTTCAGACGTCGTATTTGAATAGCTGTTTATTATCACAAGACCGCGACCTAATAAATGGTTTGGAAGTTGAAAAATCTCAAGAAACTCGTTGCCCTGTGTGCTTTTTTAGTTTCAGTTCAGGTATATATATCGAATCTACTGTTCTATTTTTCCATAAAAGTATGGGAAATCGTGGCGATTTGCAGATACTACGTTATCAACTCATTTGTACAATATGACTTCCGATCCGCTACACAGTCTTCCTATCCTAGCATGTAATCATTGTTCAAAAACCTTTTCCGGATGTGTTGGCCTCGCTGATCATTTGCAAGCATCCCATCGTCCTGTAGGTTTTTCGTATTTCAAAGTATGTAGCATTTTTTTGAAAATTGTCTTTTTGCAAAAACTGGTAACATCGAGCAAACAATTAAGGTCTCGTCGTCTATTAACCAATTAAGAAATGAAGCAATTGAAACCACTGATAGCTTAAAAATAGACTTTGATTATATGACCGATATCGTTTGCTTTTTATCCAACTTGCAGTTGTTTACTGCTCCTTAGTAGGCTTCGGAAGCATTGAATGATTAGTCAAGTTGTTTTAAATTTTCTCAAACTTGAGCTCATGTACATTGAGAATATGAATTATGGCGGGGAAGGCTAAACCCTTTGTCTATAAAATAGGTATCGATATTTGTCCAATTTGAAAAGATTTGGTGACGAAAATTTTATGCTTTGCTAAATTGATTTTTTTCCCGTATGCATTTGGGAACAGGGAAGAGAAAAGAAATCCCTAATTAGTTTCATTAAAGTTAACATTTTCTAAAAACAGCATTATTTGTAGAATCAGCATGAAGAACGAAGTTTCGCCTGTGATGCAAATTTCTTGTTGAAGCAAGACCATGTTTGTTTGTTTCGCGTTTTATTAATAATGAGTTTCTTTTTCACTTCCTTACTACAATTATTAGTCAGCTCATCATTAATTTTTTTTTTTTGCCAAAATTACCGCCAGTATGATCAAAGTTTGTGTAGTCCTGCTTAATAATGCGTTTTTGAAAATATTGTAGAGTAATCTTAATATTGAAATAGTGGTTGTGGACGATTCTACAATTTTTGCATGCATTAGGCGAATCAAAACGGTGTGACAAAAATTAAGAGCGGTAGGCCTACCATGTATTATGCCGAAAAAGTGCCTTTACTATATAGCACCTAGTGCTTTTTATCCTGTCTTCTGTTGCCATTTACTGATTTGAGATTAAAGCGATATGCGCCATCTAAGGAAGATGAGAAGATGGAGAAAAGTGTCAGCTATATTCATGGCGATCAAACAAGTTTAGATGAATTCGTAGCTGCCGTGAATTACTGTACTTGTAATTTTTTTTCAGCGATCGCATGTATGTGATGTATGTGATCGACGATTCAAAAAACCATCAGATCTGGTGCGACATAAGAGAATTCACACAGGTAATTTCGGTCATTCATTTTCTTGAAATGAAATATATAGAAAAGTAATTACATTTTTTTGGCGAAGTTTTACAAAGTTTGGTGGTGATTATTGTTGTTAATACCTTCTCCAGAACTTTTAGTGATACATGTGGTATATTTTTTCTTTTTATAAGTTGACTGAATTTCAGAAAAAGTTTTTATCCAAAATTTTTTTCAGGTGAGAAACCCTTTTCATGTGGGATATGTGAACGATCTTTCCGCGTTAAATCAACTTTATATCAACACTTGAAAATACACGAAGATTTGGGTAATGCTCGTGAAATGTGTACGCTGTGTAAGCGATGCTACTGTTCGTTATCAGCTTTACGGCAGCATTTATATTTAGCTCATGCGGAAGAGAAATCTTTCAAATGTACGGATGAAACATGCAGCGAACGATTCAAGTAAGCTCATTGCGGTTATTGCTTTTGAAGCACACGTAAAAATTTTATTTTAAATTTCTCCACTTTTACTGTTATCTATAAAAGAACTCAATGCTTAGATTATAGGACTGCTCGTAGCCGTGACGCACACGTGAGACAATTCCATTCATACGTAGCTGTTGATGGTATTGATGGTGTTGATGGTGTTCCGTCTTCGCTTAGCTCCAATGAGCAATTTCAGGCAACTGCGTTACAGCTGGCACCTGATCCCAAAAATGCGGGTTTTGTGCAACCTTCGTTTAATTCTGCTTTTTCACATGTTGTAAACAAGGTTTGTGAAGTAAAAAATTTTTTTAAAATTTGTTTAAGGTTAAAATATTTCCAAAGTAATTAGTGGGATTACTTTGATACGATTGATCGATTTTCGATTCGGTCGATTCTTTTTTTTAGGACACCAACAATACGACAACGCACCTTGTGTTGAGACTGCAGCCACATCTGAATCCGCAAACTGTTGAAGTGACAGTTAATGAAATTTCGTAAGCTATCAGTTGTATGAATATTTCTTACCCATTGAGCTCTTCGCAAATTTCATTATGTTTACTGTATTCAAGAATCTATCAAGAAATTAAAAAAAGTGCTCGCAAATATGATAAGGTCTGTCAATGTGTTGATTTTAAACTATTAACATCAAATTAGATTTTTAAATCTGACAAATCACATCGTTTTTATATGTTACAGTTGCAGTGTCAGCGATGTTAATGAAATAAATAATTGCGGTGCGATTGTGATTCCGATGCAGATGCTGCGCTCTTTATCACCGGAAGGTGTAATGCTTCGAATTGCGGTTTCATATCCATTCTTGAATGCTGGTTCATTCATGATTGTCGACTCACGGCGCTTGTTTTCTTTTTTATCAAAAAAGGAGTAAGTTATTTTCTGAAATTTAGTTTTAAAATTCAAATTTGATATGAAACAGTCAACGTCCTATCGACGAGTGGATATTAAACAGAGTAGCTTAAAGTTGATAGTGTAAAGGCTTTGATTAGAAAGTCTGAATATAGCGTAATTAATTGGCCGTGGGCCACTTAAGCGGGCAATATTTCGGTTTCTTAATCATCGATCACTTATCTGAATGGTTAGATGATGTTATAGTTAGTCAACCAATTTTCTTCATTGACACATTCATTACAGACGAATACTATAGTGGTACCAGTGAATGCATCCGTTGAACTTACCAATTTACCATTAAGTGTGTACACAACTGCCCAAGATTTTGACTCTTTGGCACAACCACCGACATTCATCTCGAACTGTGTTATTTGTGATGAAAGTTTCTCTAGTCAGGAAGAAAGTGATGCACATTTCGGTAGTGAAGATCATGAAACAGCACAAGTAATTTCTACACATTATATCATGAAATAATATCAGACTGCGGCAGTTTTACTACCAAGAAAAAATGATAATTTACGATCGAATGACTTTATCTTCTTACCCTATTACAGTTTTTCTCGCTCCCACAATTAACGCGGCATTTGGATGGCGCAACAGCAACAGTAAATAACGATCATTTTCAGCCGTTCATGTGAGCATCTTTTGTGCGGATTGAATTTTACCTGAATATTAGCCCTAATTATAAATAATGAAGTTGGTGTCAGTATTTGCTTTAGTTATTATTTCTAAATAATATTTTGTTGTAAATAATGTTCTTTGAGGATTTCAACAAATGACTGTTTTTGGTTTGATCGCTAATCTGTTGAATTTTCAGGACAAGAATGGAAGTGTGTAAGCTTTGCTTGGAGCAATTCCAAGACCGAGAATGCTTACTGGCACATGTACGTCGGGAGCATGAACGAGACAGTATTGATTTGCTTGATCGCAATGATTTGTTAACTTGGCGTCGCACTTAAATTAATTAGAAGGAATTTTTTGTTGTCCATGTTTTTTTTCGATTTCATATCATTTTTTTCATTGTTCTGTATTTGCTTATATATTGTTCTATAATTACATTTCACTGAATAGATCGAACTATGTATGCATGTTCAAAAACTCGAATTCGTAACAATTGGAATGTTGTTTTCTTGGTGAACAGAAAATCTAGCATCATTACTTTGATTTTATCATTTGATACACATATGTGATGTGGATCTTATAACATTCTATGCAAATTGTACATTTTCCTAAAGATTTCAGATAATTTTCTACACTTTTGATTTGCTGTTCCACTAAAGCTTTCAATAAATAATTTATTTTGAAATGTTCTTTGTTCATATACTGTTAGTGTGTGTGTTTAACCATCATTCCATTTTATTAAGCAATATACTGTTATTTTTCAAGTTTTAAGCCCATTTTTACTTTGCAACATGAACTATGAAATAAGGGAGCAAATAAAAGCACTAGGAGTGTGATACAGTAGTATGTCAATCAATACCACACGATATATTTAAATAAACTTTCAACATATCCCTAACGAGTATTCATTGTATAACAGTTATGGGATGTTAATAATACGGTAGTCAGCTTTCTTACAGATATGTTACTGATCGCAGTTCTGAATATTTGCAGGATGAATTCGGACGTCGGTCACGCAAGAATGAATTTTGTTCGATTTAAAAATTGCATTGTATCAAATACATCATTGTGGAAATATTGCGAATTTCATTCAAACCACTATATAAATCTTGTTTTTATGGTATGGATGCTTCAGAAAATATATGTTTTAAGAAATTTTTAATCCTTAAATTGTCTAGAATGTCACATATTGGTCAAATCTACCAGTACGAGCCATTGAGGAATCAAGTGATGGGACAAAGTAATGTATGGTAGTGATAATTATCGTAAAGTTTTTTTTTTTCTTTTTCAAATTGACACGAAAGTTACGTGAATTCGTGATACATTTCAGAAGGATTTCGAAAAGCTACCGCTTGTGGGTTTTTCGATTTGTTCCGGCATGGAAATAATTAAGCAAAAATTGCATCCTAGTAATACGGTAGCTTTTAAGAGTTGGAATTCACCGGAAATGCCATTATGGGCTAGGAATCGTGTGAAAACAGGTATATACTTACAAAGCAATTTTTTATTTTTGAGAGTTTCTGTATTTTTGCAAAATATTTAAAAATTTTGACTTAGTTAAATTTGTCACTAAAAGTTTCAGAGTCGAAAAAAGTAAAAATGAGAAAATGTGGACTTGGAAAGTTTTCATCTATTTAATTTTCTGCAAAAACTCCTAATTTATTGCTTGTTTTTTAAAAAAAAAAAATGTCGAAATTTAACGTCACTTATAATCTCTATAGTAAAGCTTAAATCTCCTTGTTATTCATTTGATTTGGTTTGTTATGAAGTATTTATAGGGAATAGCAAGGTGAAAGTGTAGTAAGATGAAATTTTGGAAAGTTTACGAATATTTTTTGCGATATTGTACTTGCATTAAACAATGCAGAGGAATCCAATAGAACTGAATGTGAGATAATAACTTCACGTGATTTTGTTGAGAAAGAAGCGATCAACCAATTGTAATAAAACTTTCACTTAATTCATTTACATATGAATTTGTAAAATACCAATTTGTTGTTCAATGTTTTTCGTCGCCCTAATCAATGTTCCACTTTTCTTCATGATTTTTTTAAAATATTATAATTACATATGCCTCTATTGATTTGTATTTTTCTATGATGGGAATTTTTACTTCAGATGATTATCTACGAATGCTTTTACGATTTGAGAAGAAACGCTTGGGCGTCTGTTTTCGTCTCAATTCATTTCCACCATCATGTTATGTTTATTTCGATTATCCTCCCAATCACCCAGTGGAAGAGTTATATTTAGCATTGATAAACTCTGAAATGTTTAATGAACAGGTAGAAATTAAATTACTTCTATCAATTGAATTTCAAAGAACATCTTTTTTAAACTCATTATTGTTTAAATCAGTGATTTCCTAGCTTCAAAGTTATGTTTGTAATTTGGGTTCTTTCTTCAAAATTTATTTAAGGCGGTGAAAAAAACAGCTAATATTTTGAGTTTTAATGAATCAAAAATCATATAAAAAATTTCAAGTAATTACAGCATACTTTTAACTGAAAAAAAAGACTTTTCAAATGTTTCTTTAAATTAGAGGTTGTCTTTAGAAGTATTGTCTGAATATTGTTATTGTTGATCATTCAGGATAGTTGCTCAAGTCATTTCGTATGAATATGAGCATAAGGTTATTGTTAAGATGCGTTTCTTTGCATATTTTTATTACTTATTCTGTTTTATTTGGTAGGGCATACCTTTTATTGCAATGCCAAATCCTACCGAAATTTTTGTATGGACGGCGCAAAAGATGCAGAAGGCTATCAACAAAGAAGAACGAGAAGCTATTAAGCCATTGATTCAAAATACGACGTCTAAATCCAACAAGGTATTTCATTTCTTTTAATATTTCGTAATTTCACACGACATATTTTGAGATTTTTTGAGAAACGTTCATTTGTTGAGGGTTTTTTGACAAAAATATCAAATTTTAATTGTTTAGTATTTTAACGTGTTACATTTTACACAATTTTTCAACTTCTTCGATATCTAATATAACTTCATTATAGTGTGAAATCGGAAATAGTTGTACAATGTCATAACGCTCCTTTTACATTCTTGAGAAAACGCTGTTGTGTTAAACATCAAGGTTGATTAGATGATATGATATGATCAGCAAAGGGATCTTATATTTGATATAAATATAGTATTTTGATGGTTGACATTGTGGGAATTTTTTTCATTCTTGTTTATTGATTCTCACTGTCAGAAAAAAAAAAATTCTCTGATAATAATACTTATAAGTTGGCCTGTTTCTATCCTTTCCTGAACCTTATCTGTTTCTGTGCATTATAGGCTAGAACTACTGTACCGATGTGTACATTTTGCTGGGAACGACCTATCGATACACTTTTAATGCCATGCAATCATGCAGTATGTTGTAAAATTTGTAAGGATAACTACATAAGTTATGAACGAAAACGGAATAAAGCAAAGAATTTATCAATGGATGTTGTATGCCCAATTTGTCGGGAAAAAAGTACTTTTTTTGTTTATTTCATCGAAAGCATAAGTCATAGAAAATACTTTTAGTTTTTAAGTTCGAAAATGTTTAAATTTATAAATTATGTTTACGTTAGTAAAATTTGTTCTGCTGTGGAAAATGATAACAGCAAAATGATCATGAAATAAAAGAAACTATTAACAGAATAAATCACATGAATGAGATAGCTATAGAAAGTCGCAGATTTTTAAATTCTTCATTATCACCTTTTTGTTCGACAAAACATTAAATGTTTCTTTTTTGCTCATTATCAAAAAGATATTTCCATATATGGTTATATTAGGTTTTTTTTTCGATTAATTACTCCCTTGCTTAGTCATTCGATATTTGAATTAGCTTAATTACTTAACGTAAACTGATCAGATTCAAATTGTTGTTATAAACTTACCGGAGATTTGAAAAGTTTAACGATAAAGAAATATTTTCCTTTTTCAGTTGAAGGTGTTGCACAAATCTGGTTTCCCAAAATCTGTCGCTGTTTGCTTTGTAAAAATGACTGTAATAAGTTGTCAGCAGTTGCTGGTGGTAAAAATGGTTGTGGATGTGTTATTGGATGTTATGAGAAAGCCCGGAAATTATGCGAAGACGGTGGTTCATGCCCGCATTGTCAGAAAGAGCTTATCGATGTGTTGCAAATTTTCATTCAAGATGATCGAGATTAATGATGAATCAAAGAATTCCGTTATTTTGTAATTCAAAAATACTATGATTTCAAGATTATCAAATCTATCATCGGAAATTTGTTGTTTAAATGATTAGGAAAAACTTGCATAGATTTTTACATGTTGACTTGAAAAGGATGCAGTGTTAAATTATTAATTGCAATGGGAAAAATGGAGGATATTGAGAAGTATCTCAAAAGACTGCTTAGTAAAACTATAATTAAAGTGAAAGTTGAAGTTCTCGTGAATGTATGTTCAGGGTAATAAAGTGGTAAAAGATCAATTGGCACTTTTTTTTCTCTCAGAAATGTTCCAGTTTAATGACGAAATATTTCATGGTAAAAGTTTTTTGTGTACTATTAAACTATATTCTATTAAACTTTTGTCAACGAAGAAGAACGAGAAGCTTTTAAGCCGTTAATTTAAACGCAACGTCTAAATCCAACAAAGTATTTCATTTATCTTTTAATATTCCATAATTTCACAAGACAATTTTTGAGGTTTTTTTGAGAAACGCTTATTTCATGAGGGTTTTTTTTTTGTTCAAAAATATGAATCCCAATTTTTTGTTACTTGTCTGTATCTAAAAGTTTTACGAATTCCAAGGAAATATTAATGATCTCTCGCATATAATTACTGAACAATGAATTAAGGAAAATCTGTTATTCATATCCAAACATTGATTGTATAATATAAGGAAGAAACGTCGACAAAAGTGATCGTTCTTCATCCTTTCCGTTTAATTTTAATTTGAATGAAAATCTTTTAATTTCAAATTTTCACTTAGAAGGAAAAATTCAATATGAGATTTGATAGAATGCTATCAGAATTACTCTTTGGATATTTATCCTTTAAATCTTTCGTTGAATTTTACTATTGCAAAATTTCGAAATCAATTTTTTCAATTTCACGTCAATTGGAATATTGTTTTTGATTTGAAGAAAAATTTCCATCCTCATTTATATAAGTCAATTTTTCTTTATAACTTTTTCCTTTTTGGAATTTTCTTTATGGATATTTTGGAATACTTTCAGGTAAAGCATCGGTGGTCTTATATGTTTATCCCTCATCCATCATTACTTTTACTTTCGAACCTTTTTTTATCCTGCGATATAATTAATTGTCAACGATTTCTTGTCTTTCCTAGCAACTAATGAATTTCATATTCAGTATTATCTCGGATAAGCATTTCGTTTGCACAGCTCACTAAATATTTTCATTCAGGATTTCGGGGAACTGGAAGTGTTGCGCACTGCGACTGCTATCGGTACTATTATTGTTGTTAATTATCATTATTATTATTATTATTACTACTGTTTATTATTACTGTCATTATTACTATAATTATTATCACTGGTATTTTGTTATCACTATCATAATTATAATGATAATCATTGTTATTGTTGTTGTTGGTGTTATCGTGTCCACTCAATTCTTACAGTGGTAACAATAACAGTAATATAGTATAAGTACGATTAATTATCATTATCATTATCAGAGTTACGGCATAAAGTTTCGTCAAGTCTGTAATTTAGGTTGACATTCTTAGAATTTATTGTCCATAAATTGTATTGATTGCTTACTGCACTGTACATATATATGTATGCCTATGTCTGTGCATGTGATTCATTTCAGGCTTCAAATTCTGGCTAAGTTTTGGTTCCGGATTCATGAATGAATCAAGTTTTATTCAATCAAGTGAATGGGGAGAGAAAGAGGGGGGAGAGAGAGAGAGAGAGAATGGACAAGGAAAGAATTAAATAAAAAGGGAAGGAAAAAGTGTGAAATGCAAATTAAAGAACAAACATTCAAGCATTGCCTTATATTTCTTCCTCTTATCATATCATGATAATAACAATTGCAAAAAAAAGGGAAATAATCAGACATACTATATCCATTATGAAATTAATTACAGAATAAAACATTAACAAAAAAAGTTAGGATAAAAAACATAGGAAAATTATAGGAACAGCCACAACATTGATTCCATGATATGTCTCCAAAAAAAAAAAAGATGGAAAAGAAATGTATATAATTAGAATAGGAAAAGAACGAAAGTAATATGATGGAACAATGAAATCCTTCCCAAAATAATTGCAAAAGAAATTAAAT